CTTGACTCTTGGTGATACAAAGTGATTTTTCTTTGGGTCAAGTTATAGTCTTTACGGCATTCAAGTGTGATCAAATTTATATAAGGACATGAGGGAAATGGACACATTCTATGATTTGAACAGCTATTATATACATCTACGTTATTTTAGAATATGGTTTCATACTATGCAGTCTTGTGATTATTCAGAACTATTAGTAATGCGAATTTGAGGATAAATATCGCGATAGACAAGCAGATTTATAGACGTGAATGATTGAATATATAAAAATTGGTTCGCGATCGAGTAGATTTGTTGAATTTCTCAGCAATCAAGCTAAAAGTTTACTAAAGAAACAAAATCATTACCACAAGAATAATATCAAATATTCAACTCATCAGAAAGTACTAATATATTTCAGTTTGACTGTTATAATATTATATTGATATTGACTTATTGGTTTTATTCTAAAATCATTATTTTCCGAACAACCAAATATTTCGTTCTAGTCCAGGGTATGACGACAAACTACATCCGGCAACAGGAAGTATTCAGAAGCGTGGGATCACCTTTTAATTGATGTTGTGGCCAGGTCGACTGTGACCCAGGGTGGTAGCACACGTTAGGACAGCAGCTGTGTGCAAATAATGAACGCCCAGACAAAAAAAAAAAAAAAAAAACAGTATGAAAGTATATAAAAATACATTTTTATAGAAAAATTACCAACAATACATTTGATCTGTTGTTGAAGGTAGGCAACTGCGTTCAAAATATATTTAGTTGAAGCCATATATATATATATATATATATATATATATATATATTGAACCATGAAAAAAAGTATTAAAAAATTGAAATCTTCAGACACAATGGTTTGTAGATTAATATTTTTTTGTTTTTTTTATTAATATTTCATTTAGATTCCTCGACTAGTTTCGTCCAAAATGGCCATTATCAGGAGAAGAAATATTTCTGCTTGCTGGTAGCAGTAAACTACAGAAATGAATGTCTTGATGGAGAAAATGAACTTTTGTCTGTAGTTTTCATTTGTATTTATTTATTTATTTTTTAATCTTTTTAACATGAATCTTTTAACATTCCTTGTGTTGGTCAAACAGTCCCTTTTAAGTTGTTATTTGAGATGAGAGCTGGATGGATCTATGCTTCTCTGAATTCCCCTGGTCAGTTTGACAGTTTTATTGGTCCTGGAGAGGGGGGTGTCTCTGTTTAGTGTTTGTGTGTGTGTTATTTGGTTCTTTGGGAGTGAGTGAGTATGGTATGTGTAAGCTTGTGTATTGCTGTAGGTGTGTGTTATCATTTGGCTCATTAGGGAGTGAGTGAGTATGATGTGTGTAAGTGTGTATGTTCGTGTGGGTGTGTGTATAAGTGTGAGGACTCCACACCTCCGTAAGCATGTCTGTCTTGTGTGGGTGAGAAATGTGGGTAGGTTTTGATTTGTTGAGTTATATATTAGTACTATCTATATTGTTAAATTTATGGTTTAGCCCGGACGGATATTGTGTTTTTTTTAGACGTTGTATCCATTTATTTTCATGGAACTCTAAAATCTTTCTAATGTTATCTGTTTTGAACTTTTCTATTCTATGACGTCAATTATAGTGAATTTAGCATGGTTTTATAAATCGTGTTTTGTCAGGCGGAAATGTTGTTCTACATGTAATAATTTTTCATGGGGATATTTATATATATATATATATATATATATATATATATATATATATATATATATATCGTTAGCGTAGTAGCATTAGTAAAGAGTAATACATTTCTGTTTGACTGTTATAATACTATATTGATACTGACTTAAAGGTTTTATTCTTAAATCATCTGGGTATTTTTTTATTCTTCTTATAACAATCACACAGTAAAGGCATATGCCTGTTGAAACCAAATGCTGCACGTTGATTTCCCTGATAATTACACATATTTAATTCTTTCAAATAGATTTTGAACTGTACACAGGCCATTTATTTGTATGTTACAATCGTAATCGCTTTCACAGTTGGTACTAGCAGACCTTTCCGACCCAGTCATACCTTCTCTTGTATTCATTCTTGTCTAACCTGCCATCATCGATGTTTATTTTGTTCACTCTCGCAGTTGTATTTTCCCATGGTGTGAGAATAAGATTGGGACAGGAAAATGTTTGTCTTTATATTCTTTAATAGCGCCACCTTACTGATTTTTACGAAGCCAAATGGGATAATCCTATTTCCAGTTCCTTTACTTTTAGCCTCATGGCAAAATATATTTCTTTTTTATCATTTTATTCGTCAATTGGATTTCATTTTTCCACCAGGGTTGGAAAGGAAAAAAGCATGTTTATGCGGATATATGCGATTGTACTGATCGAGGAAGCATTCTCTTGGGAGTCGTTTCCACAAAGCTGTTAGTGGTAAGAAGCTGTTGAAGTGGGACTTGTATATCGTCAGCGGAATACCAATGGAATGAGGGTGGTACACTACAAGGTGCATAGCATAGGAGGGGGGTCTTAGCTGTGTTGATTAGAACCTGTGTAAATAAGCAGTGGTCCCCCAATTTTTTTCTCTCTGGGCTGCATTTTCGGAATTAAAATTTGCCTCCGCCTTAACAAATTTTATGTGATAAAAAGTTCATTTAAAAATAAAGAGAGGATCAAAGGGGGATAAGCACGGATTCGAATTCAGAATATTATCATTGATAACTCTCTCCTTCAATTTGCGGACTCTAGTTACTATATTTTAATTACTTGATATAATGCCAAAAAATCACAGTGATAAAATCGGTCAATAATGATTTATAACTATTTATACTCATGCATGCAATTACAATCAATTCATAATAACATTTTAAATTTTCAAATCATATTTAATTTTGATATATGAATTTTTAAAACTGTTTCTAAAGATATATTGTTTTTCAATCATTCCGTCTCACCTGCTATCCTCTGCCGAAACCCCTATGAGGCTCGCTGCACCGTTTGGGAACCACTGAACTAAGCAATATACTTCGTCTGTACACTTTCCATGCAAATAGCGATAAAGTAGTTTGTAACACATTATTTATCATCTCTCAGTTGTGTCGCTGTCGTTGGGCACAGTGCACTCAGGGGCAATTCCGTCAAAGGACGGAGTCACAACTGAGGAAAATTATACTGAGAGGTGCCCAGCCCTGGGGAACAGTTGCCCGAGGCTGCAGCCTCTCATTACACTAGTGTGAGGGTCGGTGCTCGTAACGAGGCCAGCGCAACCGACTATTGCGGGGGATGCTGTAACTTTTCTTTCCTGGCCTGGTCGTCATCGCTCGGGCCCCCAAATAAAAAAAAGAGACCTTGTGTCACAACTCATCTTAGTGGGGAGACAGAGTAAATACCTAGCGACAGATTGGCGAGTGGCTTGCAGCATTTCGTCCTTGAGAATGGTTTGATTTACTTTCTTTTGTTTTATGGCATATCAACCTCAAAGGGTTATTTAATACTGAAAAGATTTTTATTGTTAGCAATATTTTTTCTTCACAAATGTATTGCTGGTAATAATCTATTGCTGGTAATAATTATTCATATTCAAAAATGTATTGAAGGGTTTTAAACCCAGTTTGGGGTTAAGTATTTGCCTATAGTTGGGGCCCTAAGAGGTGCTACCACCCCGGGTCATAGTGGATCTGTGAACCCAGCAATTAATAGGTGGTTCCACGCTCCTCACAACCTCCTTATCAGAGGCTTTGCTGTTGGATGTAGTTTATCGTCTTACCTAGGACACGTCTTTGAGAAAGGGGAAAATTTAACAAATCTAGTGGTCTCTTATTCCCAGAGGGCTTACCGCGTGTCTAGACGCTAACAAGGTTATTACTACCGACCTTCATTTAACAATAATAATAATTAGTATGAGTAGGTGAAGTAGCAGTAGCAATATCAGCTAGAATGCTACTGGCAAAGCGGGTTATTATTATTGTTCTTATCAGTGCTGATGCAGGAGGCAGCAATAGCATTTTCCAAATATATCGATTGCAGAAAAAATAACTAAGTAAACAAAGTTGACATAAGTATAGAATTTTGAGGGTGGAGTTGAAGTCAATTCAGTTACGTTACCATTTCATTAACTGTGTGTATAGACGTATGTCATTGAATGCTTTCAAACCTGTACGTCCACCTCTATGGTTTGTGAGTATTTAGAAGTAGACAGCTTTAATTATTAAAATACAAATAATTTTCCCTATTAAAGTTCACCTAAGACAAGGCTCAAGATCTACTCAAGGTAGACGTTTACTGTTAAAACTTTTACGATGAATGGGATGTTATACAGATGAAAAGGGGTGGTTGTGATAGAAAGTGAAGATTATGAAGAAAGCTAACCACGGACACGTGACTTAAAAAGGTTATGATTATATTGATAAGGAAAGCATTCATACTGGCGTCTGTTTCACATAGTAGCAGTTCTCGCCAATATATGTTGAACTGCCTCCTTTCAGGAGGTATACGAAAGAAATATATTTGACTCGACTCCGAGGACGTATAAATGTTTGAACTGGTGGAGATAATCTGAACATTTGCTATAGAAAATAGAGTATCGAAAGCCTTGCAGCTTTGCGTCTTTGGGGAAAGAGGTGGTAGAGTGGAAAATAAGCCATGCCCTAAAATAGCGCGCAAACGATTTTGAACAGTATCGTGGAAGGAAAGTGATTATTGGGCAGCTGCAGACAAAATATGACGGTATTTCGTTATCTAATTTGGCACTTTTAAAGATTGACGGATTGGGGCTCGTATTGGGGAATCTGAGGGCCGAGTTCGAACTTTAGTTGAGTGAATTCCATTCACTTTCGTGCTGATAACCTTGGGAAAGTTATTAGTCCATCTCTTCTAGTCACAGCTATGTGTAAAAATTCGGTAGCAACCGGCCTTGGAGAAAGAAAACCAAAGATTCCTTCTATGTATGCAACCCTGGCAAAGCACATAATACGCAGCTAAGGAAAGGCTCATTTACATTAACTCGATGTTCTACTGCCGACTCCTTTTTAAACATGGCTTACGGCCACATCACGTTGAAACACCGGTTTTCGTTTGATCACCGAAGTTAAGCAATGTCAGTACCAAGATGGGTGACCATTTGGGAATACCAGGGAATGTAAACTTGGATGTGTGGGTGGTGTAATGGATAATGGCTCGGAATTGTTAATCTGAGAGCCGAGTAAATTAGTAAGGCTTGTATTACTAACTCATTATCACCTAAAAAAATTCTTATAATCGTGAGATCCTTGGGATTGTATCGCTGTAAAGGTTAACTGAAATGTGTTTTCCCTGCCATATAACTAATTAAATGTTATACAGGACTTCAAAACACGTTTGTTTGTGTCTAATAACATTTTCCTCTCTCTTAATACGTTGAACGCCAGGGGTCAAATCCGAAATCTGACTTCAAACGCCAAATGTATAATAGCATGTTCGGCAATAAAGACATTTTATGGGTTGACTAGCAGCATGGCCCGGCGTTGCCCGTGCTTGATTAAAAAATCATACGACTCATACAGGAATCGCTATCACGTGACTTAAACTATTTTTGTCCTTCCTTGCTTTTAAAGGAGTGCCCTTTGACGTGCTGATGTTGCTACATGCCTCATCTCACACTGTGAATTTTTTCTAAGCTCTATACTAAACATTAAATCTGTTACGAAAAAAGAACTAAGCAAAATGAACACAAAACGATCAGCTTTAAAAAAGGACTCGTAACTGGAAAAACCGAATGAAAAAAGAATGTTAACAACAAATAGTTTTTCACACCTAACCCAGTTCTGCGGAATTAGAATCAACGTTGAGTTTAAGCAAGCGAATGAGCCAATTGGAGTAAAGTGCCATGCAGATTTAAATTTTTCCCACTTTGGACGAATGCAGCTATCGATTTTTTTTGCATGCTAGTTAACATTCGTGTCAGTCAGCTGTTGGCTTTCACGCTGGCCAATAGAATCTTCCTGCCTATTCCTGGCAGCCAGCTATAGGCTCTCATTCTGTCCAGTACAAAAAGGCCGCAAACTACATGAAAATCGCCGTAGAAGCATGAAAAAATCGATTATTTCCACTATCGATGGGAGTTGGGAAATCCAAAGTCGGTCTTGGCCTTCCCGCTAACTTGGAGCATATGCATGTAAATTTGGTGCAAATCCATCGACAATTGCGGCCGTGCATTCGTTTCACACATCCTGCCTTTTATAGATAGAGATTTATAGCTTCAACTGAAGCTTTAAATTTGTTTTCACACTACAAGTATCACTCCGTATAAACTCGTTGTTGGCGTCCGCAGTTGAAAATGTATCAGAAAATGCTACGTACTAGATAACCCGTAGCCGGCACGTGATGATGCTGCGTTGCAGCTCATAACAGATCCCGGGGTTCATTGACAGAGTGAAGCTTCTTCCAGTCAAACGCTTGTGGCTTTAAAATTACCCTTCGGTCAGATCTTTACATACGAGTGAAAAACATAACAATTTCTAGCGTTAAACCAGATTATTCTATAAGCGAGTAGAGTTGCGGTGACGCATAAGTGAGGGGCGGGGGGACATAATCCAGCTCTTGTCTCCCCTGTCCTTTCTCCGAGGCCCACGTCTTTCCTCTGTGAGCATTTTCGCGCGGTGGTCTGTTTTATAGATAACAATTTTCTTTGTCTTGTCATCTTCGTTTAAAAGTCTTCCTCCAGCTGCCTTTCTCTCTGTCTGAGCCCATTGCTCTGTAGTTTGAAGTTGACATCGGTTGAAAGTAAAGGGCCCGTGACCATTTTGCGACAAGTCTATCTGTTTTCAATTTAAAACTGAGTCATTGCTACAGGCGTAGTCAGCACGAGGTAACTCGTAGCCCGTAAGTGATAAATTCAAGTCGGCAAGTGATAACTCGTTGCCGGTACGTGATAACTCGTAGAGGGCACGTGATAACGCCTAGTCGGCAGGTGATAACTCCTAGTCGGCAAGAGATGACTCCTACCCAGCAAGTGATAAATTCTAGTCGGCAAGTGATAACTCCGAGCCAGCAAGTGATAACTTCTAGTCGGCAATTAATAACTCCAAGACGGCATATGATAACGCCTAATTCGGCAAGTGATAATTCCTAGTCGATGAGTGATGACTCCTTGCCGGCACGTGATAACTATTAGTAGACACGTATCGATTTCTAGTCGGCAATTGATAACTCCTAGTCGGCACGAAATAACTCTGAGCTAGCAAGTGATAACTTCTTGTCGGCAACTAATAACTCCTAGCCGGCATATGGTAACTCCTAATCGGCAAGTGATAACTCCTAGTCGGCAATTAATAACTCCTAGTTGGCATATGATAACTCTTAATTCGTCATGTGATAACGCCGAGCCAGCAAGTGATAACTTCCTGTCTGTAATTAATAACTCTTAGCCGGCATATGATTACTCCTAATTCGGCAAGTGATAGTTCTTAGTCGGCAAGTGATAACTCCTTGCCGGCACGTGATAACTATTAGTGGACACGTATCGATTTCTAGTCGGCACGAGATAACTCCGAGCCAACAAGTGATAACTTCTAGTCGGCAAGTAATAACTCTTAGCCGGCATATAATAACTCCTAATCGGTAAGTGATAACTACTAGTCGGCAAGTAATAACTCCTAGCCGGCATATGGTAACTCCTAATCGGAAGTGATAACTCCTCGTCGGCCTCATAATAAAAACTGCCAATCTCGTCGTTGGTTGTCAATGATTGAATAGTCTAATCATTTTGTAGAAGGCACCTTTTCTGTGTCCACATTTCCGTGGCCGTTTACTGATCGACCCAGATAGTTCAATCACATTCCTTATTGATTAGCCTATTGTTCATTTTACACTTTGAGTTGCATCATCTGCTGGCGACGATGTATTCTTTGATCTTGCAGTTAATAGTTAGTACTTTCTTCTCTTTTTTCCATTCCTAAATAAATGCGCGCGAAGAACTCGGACATCTTTTCAAGAAGAGGAAATCTTCTCCAATTTCTCCGCAGGGAATAATTAATACTACGCAATGTCTTCGCAGAGAGACCGACGACTCAGGCAAGTGCCTATTAGCAAGAATGTTTCATATTTGGCGATATTTTTTTTATTTTTTCTCATCTCTGCGTCTTTGTTCTTGCCTCTAACATTAATAGCCCAATTATATTGGCTGATACACTGCCTGACTGATACAAAACTTTCAATGCGGGCGTACTTTCTCTGAACATCGCCAAAATAGTCAGTTGTTTATCGATCCAAATTTTGTTTCGATGTATTTTTGTTTTTGTTTTTTGTTTTCTAATATTTTTTATGTTTTTCCTTCATTTATTTTCGGAATATCTTTCTTTAGACGTAAACAAGGAATACAAATGTAATAAAGGATATTTTAAAAATCGTGTTTCACTATTTAATTTATTTATTTATTTTTAAATTGCAATCGTTGACATTTTGTTTGCGTCTTCAGAAGGTTCAAACGAATGGTCATTTATAATAGTATTTCATTTACTGTTTTTTTTTTTTGTTTTCTTTTTTCTTTGTGCATTTTATCAATTAGACCAAGAGTAAGAGGGAGAAGCGACAAGTCTGTCCACGAAAATATCGCATTTAAAATGCAGTTTTAATTTGGGCTATTTTGTAATGGGACAAATTGATGCCGGATAGATTGCCAATATGAAATGTTTTATTTTGGAAAAAAAAAACACAAAGGGAGACAGAAAGAGAAAAAAAGAGAGAAAGGGAAAGAGAAATAAGAGTGAGAATGGGGGGGAGACCGAAATTAGACAAGAAAGAAGAATGGTGTAAAGAAATGATGAAGAAAAAGAGAAAGATGGAAAGAAGAGAGTAGAGAGTAAATAGGAGAGAATAAGAAAAAAGAAAGAAAGAAAAGTGAGAGAGAAAGAAAAGAGAAAGAAGAAATCTAGAAAGAAAGAGAGAAGAGAGATGAGAGAAAGAAAAAAAAGAAAGCAAATGAATAATAAAGAGAAAAAGGACAGAGTGAGAGAAAAAAAGGGGAAAAGAACTAAAAAAAACTAGAGAAAGAATGGATAGAGAAAGAGAGAGAAAGATATGTAGAGAGAGAATGAAAGAGAGAATTAATTGAGAGAGAGAGAGAGAGAGAGACAAAATGGACGGGGGAGAGAGAGGGGATTTGGTGAACGAGAAAACAAAAGAAAGATCAGAAAAACAAGGCGAAAATAATCATTAGGACCAAGAATAAAAGCGGTACATTTATAGTAGAAGTACAAAGAGACTTTGAAAAAGGCAAATAAACAAGGAAAAGAGGGAAGAGAAAGAGAGAAAGAGAGAGTAGGATTAGATCAATTCCTGAAATAAGTAAGAATTTACGGCTATGAGGATCACATAACTATTGGGAGACCGGAAACTACCTACACAATAGAATCTTCCAGGCCTATATTAAGTAGGCGACATAACACCCTAGAGAGTCACACAGAGTCACACTGAGCAACATAGAGTGATATAGTAAGCTCCGCTTACACTATCTCTGTAACCTGTTGTTAATATATCTTTCTTACATCTAATCCGTGTTCCGTGTTTTACGTGGTCCCAACTTTGGCCCCACATCAATAACAAATATTGCATTGTCATATACCGGACATCCCCAGAATATGGCATCATTTCAAAAGCAATTATCTTGACAACTACTAAGTCTAGCTCAATGAAATCGAACCGTTTAGGTGTTGTACATCATACGTTTATTATGGGATCGATTTCATAAGTGTTCAATATATGCACCGCCTGTGACACGGCACACGTCAAGTCAGTAGCTAAGCTCTTGCCAAACACGTTGTAGCATGTCTCCGGTAACATTATCCAGTGCGGAAGTGATTCTCTGCTTGAGTTCATCAATGCTAGCAGAAAGAGGGTGGGGCATAGATCCAGTCCCTTCATATATCCCCATAAAAAGAAATCACATGGGGACAGGCCCGGTGACCACTACTGCTATTTCATCAGAAAACTGTCTTTTTCTCCACCACGCCCGATCCATCTCTCTGCCAGATTCCCATTGAGATAAGCACGTACTGTCCTCTTCCATTAAATATAAAATCTTGGTCTGTTTCTATATATTCTGTGAAAAGTTGTGGATATTTCAGCAAGAATTGGCCAAATTATTGGCCTTCAAAATGATGTCAAATTTTGGGGGACATCCGATATAGTTGTTCGTTTTTTTTTTTTTTTTTTTTTAATTTAGTTTCATCCGATTTTTCATCAACAAATTAACATACCAGTCAATCATATAGAAAGATGATCAAAAGTTATAAAGGAAGAATAGGGGTACCGAAAGCCAAAGAATACTACGATGAAGATATTTTAAGTGTTAATAACATTGGGGAAAGAAACGAACTAATTTATCTGACAATCCAGCAATATAAACATTTTCGATACAAAGAATTCAAAAACTGCACGGCTATAAAAAAATATACATAACCTTCTCCCTTCCTTCACTAACTCATAATAAATAAATAACTCCGCCATTACGTAAGCAAAGAGAGTAAGCAAACAAAAACCGTTAAAAGACACCCGACGAATTTGAAATTGAAGTCCCAGAATAAAAAGGAAAATGAAATGTGAATTATAATTCAAATCGAACACAAGAGACAGAATTAGGACATATTTATTGTGAGCTCCCAAAATAAAGGGTGTTCCAGTAACTTGGACCGATTTTAAATGTGAATTAAATTTAAGAGTCTAAATATTTTTTTTTTTTTCACATTTGACAACTTAAGTATTTAGCAATTTCAACCCTGGAAAGATTAACAATCAAACAACGTCTTAAAGTTATCGAAGCCTGTTACGATAATGGACGTTGAAACAGAAATACATTTCGCGATCTTCGCGATTTTTTTGGTTAACATAATCGACGAAACAAGAGTGCAATTGGAAACAGTTGTTGTGTAGAGGTTCAATTCCTCCGCGCGATGACGAATAGATGTGTCTGGATTATCGGCACTGCAGCAATGTTTTCAGCCGAACAGCGTAAATGAGCACGCAATGGTGTTTTTACATCTGCCACCGACCCAGTTTGTTTGAATTTACGAAAAAATTTTCCAGTTACACTCTTGAAACTTTAACACGTTGTTTGATTTTTAATCTTTCCATAGCGGAAAGTGCCAAAGACTTAAGTTGTTAAATCTGAAAGAAATAGGGAAAAAATCATTAGACGCTTGAATTTAACACACATTTAAAATTGGTCCAAGTTATTGGAACGCCCCTTAAAAGGATGTCATACAAAATCCTAAAAATGCAGTGACCAGTAGTAATTGTTGCAGAACGCAGATCCTAATTTCACAAGAAGGAGATGACTCTCATGTGCATGGTGACACACATATTCCCGGAAAGAACTAATGTTTCTCACCCACTTTTCTGGAGGTGGCTAAAACTAAATTCAAACTTACTCGATGTACACACGTCCGAAATGATTATAAGTTCATTAATTTTGCATCCAACACCAATAGTCCGTTATTGCCACCCACCTCCTTTAGGTACAAGCCGCAGCCGTCAACAACTACTGAAAGCGAATAGTATGTGTTTCAGCCACGTGTAAGCTGAACCTATTTTTGCACACAACTGCGACTAGCACCACGAGCTATTAAGATATGTCCTTGCTAGACTATTGCGTGGTCGGAGGACATCCATATGCTACCTGCTACAAGTGGGAGAAAAACTGAGAAGATCACGTACACGAAAGCAAATAGCGTTATATTCTGTCAAGTAACGTATAAGCGCTTATTTCGAATCACATAATTCAACTGCTAAAGAATGAAAAAATTATATAGTTTTGTAAAGCAGAGAATCTAAAAGGTGAAAGAAGGGCTATAATTATTAGAATGATGATAATGATCAGTGTTGTTGATGATGAAAAAAATAGTGGGAGATGGGGAAACAAGTTATTAAGATAACCAAAGAGGAGTCAGATTACGGAGAAAAATCCAAAAGGCGCTGGAAAGCGGGGGGAAAAAAAAAAGAAAAGAAAAGAAATCGTAATTGAATCGGCAAATTGACAGAAAGAAAAAAAAAAAAAAAAAAAACAAACAAACAATGCCGTACAAAATGGGGCAAGTTTTCCGGGAGGTGGCGCGGTCGGTCGGAATAGGAGGTGTTGAAGAAAATGAAAAACGACACGAAGAAAATATCCGTAAAGAGTTAATCGCTATAATAAAAATCAATTTATCAGTGGCTCCTTGTCAGAAAACATAACGCCGAACGATTACTACTTTTGATTTCTCTTCTGTTATGATTTAGGCGTGTAATAAAGAGGATCAGGCATTGGATGGAAGTTGTTCCCTGAGAGCGAAATCGTGCATGTTATTGATGAGAAGAGTGCATCTATAAATCACTTAAAATATCTTTTTGCTGTTAAATTATTATCTCTAAAATAAAAATAAAAATAATAACCGATAAGGAAAAGTAAAGTTATAATAATAATAATAAAAAATAAAAAAAAAACATTAAAGAATCAATTGAACTCAATACTTGCTTAAAAATAATCCTTTCATGAAATAAAGAAACTTTAAATTCTTACAAATTCCGAAAGTTTCCTCCAGTATATATTTAAAAAAAAAGCATAAGACAGATAACCGTTTTATAGAGACGATATTTCCTTAAATTGAGAAATCTGGTCATTAATCATGATTTTAAAAAAAGGTATTATTATCGGTTTAATGGAAGTAATACTAGGTTTCATAATGGGTACCAGATATTCGGCTGTTTAAAATAAGAAAAAAAAAAGATTGACGATATTATATACGAAAGAATAATAGAATAAATAAGATAATCTGGAAAGAAGAATTAAGAACTTAGCGAGGTTCTGAGATTTCTTTTATCATCTTTGATTTGTGATTCTCTCTTCGGGCAGAGCGCAGCTAAAAAAAAATGAGAGGTACCCTGGGCAGTACCTCCCTCAATGCACTCAAGAGGAGGGAGTCAGTATCAATACCGACGTCAGCTCGACCTATGGTTGTTTTGGCTTGGCGATTTTGGGCCCTGGCCCGGCTGCACGCGCTCAAGCTTCCCACGTTAAAGCGACCTTGTGTCACATCCCGTCACGTAAGTAAATATCCAGATGAGGAATTAATCTGCTAAAAAATAAATTTTAATTTAAGAGAAAAAAACTGTTTTTTGGGGGTTTTTTTGTTTTTTTTTTTAGACACAATGAAATAATATAATAAAGTGATTTTTTAAAAACATTTCACCCCCAAGAGAGGCAATAAAACTGCTAAGTCTAAAGAGGGTCCTGTGTGAGAGAAAGTATGAGAAAAAGAAAACATTATTAAGGAGAGAGGACAATAAAAGAATGGATATTAAGAAGACTGAAGATAACAATTAAGAATACAATTCAACTTTTGAAGATAAAAATGACTGGAAAGCAAGAAGCCGACAGAGAGTTCCACAAGAGAACAGAAAGAACTATTAGCATAGAACTTCCGGTTTCACATAGCCATTTCATTTATATAATAAATGAGAAAATGCCTGTGTCACGCTTTTTCACTTAAAGGGACACAACTCTCTATCTTTCAATCATCTCAGCTTCTTTACCTATATAATAAATGTAAAATGTTTGTCACACTTTAAGTTGCGCGCGCGCGCGAGAGAGAGAGAGAGAGAAGAGAGAGAGAGAGACATATATATATATATATACAGAGAGAGAGAGATAGAGATTGAGAGAGAGAGAGAGCGCCATCCAATGCCAATTAATAATTCCCAAGGACAATTATTGAAAGTAACTGGGTTCCATCTGCTGGGACTCTGCTTTTCTCTCGCCATCTCTATGTTGGTTGTTCAAGGGTTGAGAATGGAAACCATTTATACTGACTCGGAATAGGAAAACCACAAATGTTGTTTATCATGTAGCTTTGCAATTAGTTCCAAATAGACAAACTATATCATTGTTTTGATGAAAAATGTCGCTTGAAAAATATTATTCAAGTTTAATAAACTTTAATATGTCCTCAATGCATGAAGTGTCATTGTTGGACCAAAGGCCTAATCAAGAGCCTTCATCGTGAGCTAGCTTAAATCCTGTGTGATAGGACGGCTTTTAAGCTAACATGTAATCTGTACTACCTGCCAATCAGTAGTATACTTAAATTCATAAAGTGTAAGTAACAAAGTGGAAAGTTCATCAGAACAATTACCATATACATATATATATAGAAAGTGTATATAAAAAAGCTACGTTGAGGCATTGGGAAAATGACTGAATCTAAGCCCGGACCAATAAATCGTACATTCTTTTTTGTATTTTATCAAGAATCTTTAAGTGAATAGCAAAACACCAAAAAACACCAGATATGGCTGAAATATTCAATGACTGAATAAACTTAAATAATAAATGTGTAAGATAGATTCAAGCGAGAAAAATTGTCAAGCTATTTCCCAGAAAAAGAGTTTAATAAGTTTCTCTAGTCTATTAGCTCATTCTTATAAGTTAAGACATCTATCTACATGGGTGCCGGCTCTAGACAGAAAAACAACTAGCTCTTCTCTCTGTTGTTTAGCAAGTACTGTGAATACTCATAGAGCTGTCGACAGAAGGGACTTGAAACTTTATCTATCTATCTATCTATCTATCTATCTATCTATCTATCTATCTATCTATCTATCTGTGTTTGTTTGGGGTGGGGGTGTATTATGTGCGCGTGTGTGCCCAGTAAATTTATTTTATCATTCTTGATATTTTTTTTAATTTAAAAATATGCCGCAATCATTACCAATACGAAATATTTCATTTGTGAAAAGTACAAAGAAAGAAAGAAAGACAGGAAGAAAGAGAGAGAAAGGAAGACGGAAAAAAAGAAAAAGAAAGAAAGAAAGAAAGGGATAAAGAAAGAAACAAAGAAAGAAAAAATGAAAGAAAGAGAGAGAAAGAAAGACGAAGAGAAAGCTAGAGAAAGAAAGAGAGAAAGAGAAAGAAAGAAAATGAAAGAAAGAAAACAATGATTAAAACGAAGGAAAAAAAGAAGTGCAATAAGGAGGAGTACATTGAAGTAGTGAGGAATAAAGCGAAAAAGAAAAGAAAAAGAAGTGAGAAAGAAAGAATAAGACAAGTAGCAGCTGTAAGACAGACAAGTTCAGGGTCGAAAAGAAGTAAAAGAAAGATGAAAAACAAGCGGAGAAGCATACAAAAGGGAAAAAAATCTGACTGCAATGGGAAGAGAAGACATCAAAATCCTAGTTTTAACAGTGGTCTTTAAAATAGCATTAAGCATTTCTCGATTCTATTATAACGTAATTTTAAGACTTCATATATCTATCTTGGCACCGGCCATAGAAAAATGATATATTGATATCTAAGTCGGTTTATATCGATCTATAAGCAGAAAAATAATTCCATTTTATTTACACCCTTTTCGTTTATTTTAACCTTATCGACAACCAAAAGACCAAACTGTGACGTAGTTTGATTAAAACTCATGGCCTAATGATTTGCCAATTATTACGGGTTAATGGCTTGCACACAGTTACCTCCCTTGTGACCGCTTGATCGCGGAAGGAGCAATTAACCGTGGCCCAGTTTGTATTTTTAACATTTGTTTGTTATTTAACTATTTCAGTATATTTTAAGCATTTTTTTGCCGTTGTTTTTTTTTCTCTTTTTTTTATATTTTTTGTCATCAGTTTCTTTCTTTCTGTTACTCTTTCTTTCATTCATTTTTTCTTTCGTTATTTCTTTCGTTCCTTCTCATTTTTTCAATAGTTGTTTCTTTATTTTATGCTTTTCTTTCTTTTCTTTTCTTTTCTTTTCTTTTCTTTTCTTTTCTTTTCTTTTCATTATTTTTTCTTTTTTTTTTTTTTTTTTTTTTTTTTTCCTTTGATATTTTTATTTTTACTTCCGGTCATTCGTTGCATTTATTTCTATTTCTTTATTTATTTCTCATTTGTATTTTTTTTGTTTCTCTTTATCTTTTTTTTTTCTTTTTTTAAAATTTTTCTTTCCCCTTTTCTTTCCTTTTCTTATATTATTTCTTTCTCTTTTTCGTTTATCCTTTTTTCTTTTCTTTTCTTTTTTTCTTTTCTTTTTTTTTTGATTTGTCTCTTTTTAATTCTTTTCCTTTTTTTTCCTAGAATTTCGTTTTTTTTTCCTTTTGCTGATTTTTCTTTCTTTCGCCTTAATTTCTTTGATTTTTCATTATCTTTATTTTTATTTATAACCTTTTTTTCTTTTTCTTTCTTTCTCTTTTTCATTTCTCTTGTTTTCTTTTTTTTTTTTTTGCTTTGACTTTTAAAAAAAAATTCTTTCCTTTTTGTTTTCTAAAATTTGTTCAAAAGACCGCGGAGGTGTGTGAGCCGGGTGATAGGCGAACCTATCTACTCCTATTCGGAAGCGTCTTAAAAGAGGATTGAAAATGCAACACCGAAATCCGAACGTGCATTGAATTAACGAAATATCACTTCTAAAATCTAAGATAAGTATTAAGAAACAGGAAAAAAAACAGTCTTTAGAAGCAAACAAAATTGTCTCGAACCGCTATGTAATATCAATATATGACAGTGAATGTTGGACAATTTCCTCACAGAATAAGAGAATAATGGAAGTAAGAGAGAGGTGGTTCTACAGAAGGATGATGAGAATACTATGGACAGTAAGTGAAGCCAACAAAGGAGTCTTAAGGGAAATGGAAACAAAAAAATATCATTTATGCCCAGAATGTTTGACGCATAAGGAGAAAGGAAGCTCGGAGAAAAGAGATCTCAGCTGGTCATCAGCTTATAGGAATAGAAAGCGGAACAGAGGGCAGAAGACGAAAGGATAGGAAGTTATGGAGGGTCATGATCATCCATGTATTAAGACGACTCACCACATAGAATTAGATGGGTAATTTCTGAACTGGAGTCTATTAGGCTTTTGGAACGATAAGAATATAAAGCGAGAAGAATGAGGAAAAAGGCTTCGAAACACACAGGATGTATTGGTGGCAAGAGGCACAGAAAAAATAGCACATAAGGAGCTAAGGAGGTTTTGTAAATACTTAGAATATCAGGGATTCCAAGCATTCCAAGGAAATATAGCAAAAAGATAAACTTTACTAAGGCCTATAAAGAATAGGAAGTTGTGGAGAGCCATGATCGCCCACATTCTGAAGGGAAATTACAGAAGAAAAAACAACAGCTGAAAGAAACGGATAGATTAGATGGCTAGCTACTCGCTGCCTGGAGACAGCCTGCAAAACGGCCGAGGTGTTTTTTTTAATGCATGGAATCCGAATGGTAACGGCACAATTTTTATTGTTATAGACAGCTTGAACAACCGGACTCTAGACATTAAAGAGCTTGTATTCAATGATAACTGGAAACTGTCTGTGCCACACGCGATTCGAGGTCTAATAGTAAGTTAGAAACGAGGCCATCAATGCCTGAATCACATTACGAGGATATGTGCTCCAACATTTCCCTTAAGTATTGAACCGGCACGTCGCTATATAACTTCGTTGATCGAATGAGTCTATATATATATATATATATATATATATATATATATATATATATATCGTCGTCGACTCTCCCGGCGAGTTCGACGTATGAGGGTCAAGCAGATCAGAAAACAGACAGCACCTGAGATTTGATTATAGTGCAGAACCATCCATATTTTTTGAAGAGACCTGGTGCCCTAAGTGCAGGTTTTGAATTCAGAGTTGTCCTTCTCCTAGACCAATTGCCATCCAAGACTATAGAACCCAGTCTGTCCTGCTATTTTACCCATAGCTGGAGGGAGAAGAAGAGGATTCACACCTTTCCCAGGGGTATTAGCACGTAAGTCAATGTAATGGATTCGACTGGAATTCGAACTCGGTTCTTCAATACCTCAATCCAAGCCGCTATCTATTACTCCATCCGTGCCTCCTCAAATATATATATCTGTGTGTGTGTGTGGTTACGGATATGAGGCAGATGAAAGGAAGCGGAAGTTGATTGCCAGTTTATTGATTTTATAATAGATCAAAACTTGTTGGTTTGTTTGTTGTCAGATTTTGTATGGGACACCCGGTGAGAATTGAAATCACAACAAATTGCCAATCAGACTGGCTAGCCTAAGCGATGAGGCGCCTTGCTGCTGGGATGCTGAGATATAATGAAATGCAACTAAATATTAGAACACTACGATACATTAAAATTATTTACAGCGAGTTAAAAGAAAAGAAAGAGAAAAAGGCATACTGTAGAAAAAAAATTTGTGGCTTGACACTTACTTTTTTTGGCAAGCGCAAGACATTCATTGTTTTTTTTTCATAACATTTCGATTAATAATAAACAGGAAATGAGGACTGAAAGTGACGGGTGAGATTGAAAAGATTACAAACGTGTTGATTTTATATGAGATCAGCTCATAACAATAACTTAATTACACAAAAATCTAACAGAGAGAAATATTCGTTAAGAAGAATGTGGTCCGGTGAACTTTCAAATCGGACAATAATCTACTCTTTTTTTTTTTAAATATATATTTCATCCCAAACAAGGCAATACATCCATCAGGATGTTAGTCGTTACTGAGCGGAAATGGAACAGAGATGGCGTAGATGAACAGGATTCAAGAAGTCTGAAGTAAATGATGGATATTGCATTTGTTTTTTGAAAATCGTAGTTGACAAGAAAACAGAAGCTGGAAGTGAGAAGTAAGAGAGAAGACACTATTAGCATAGAAACTACGGTTGTAACTAATAATTTAAACAGTAAAACGATGAGATCCAATATGGCGCCATCGCTTTAATTCGTGAAGTCGATCTACCAAAGAGGGAAGCATATCAGAACAATTACCACGAAAATGTTTATAGAAATGGCAAAAATATATATAGAAATGGCAAAAATATATTTATAAAATAGCAAAAATATATATAGAAATGGCAAAAATATATTTAGAAATGGCAAAAATATATTTATAAAATGGCAAAAATATATATAGAAATGGCAAAAATATATGTATAAAATGGCAAAAATATATATAGAAATGGCAAAAATATATTTATAAAATGGCAAAAATATATATAGAAATGGCAAAATATATTTATAAAATGGCAAAAATATTTATCGATATGGCAAAAATATTTATGAGTAGGCAAAACATAGAAATGGGAAAATACTTATGCAAAAGGCAAATTATTTTTAGAAATGACAAAAATATTTATGGAACAGCAAAAATATTTATAGAAATGGCGAAAATATTTATATAAAGAGCAAAAATATTTATGCAAAAGGCAAAAATATTTATAAAAAAAAGCTGGGAGAATGAATGAAGCTGTGATGCCAGGTCAAAACAGATGAAGTCCTTTTTCTGGATTTTAAAACATCTAAAATATTAGTTTCTACTTTGTTTCGAACATACATCACTAATGCCGGGGACAAAGATTCCAAACTCTCACTCACCAAGCCGGCCTGTTTGTCTTTGTTACAATAGAAATGTCTTGCAGTATATCGGTTTCCTTGGCTGTTAAAAGTTCGGAATTTCGCTTATTGGTTGAGAGGAGTTAAGGAAGAACCAGCTGGAAGAAAATGCTAATAATTTGCCATTCATTAGCTCAGATGTAACCCTAATAGCGCTAATTCATCCTCATGGACCTTCTATCAAAGGTACATTTTGACAGGACACTTAGCGTTCAACTTTGCTTAATGGGTGTAACGTCTACGAAATTAAAGCTGTGTAGAAATGCTTCTAAAGAAACGCAATTATCGTCCATCACAGACACTGACAACTTATTGGTAATTCACCAAATCTGTCAACAGATAATGCTTAATAACAAATAAATAAAATTAATCATTTAAAATATGCTAATGCTAGTCATCCTACTGATGAAACAATGTATATTGTTTCACAACATAATTGGGCTTACGTCCATATCACATTGAAATACCTGTTCTCGAATGATCGCCTAAGTTAAGCAACATCGAGTCTGGTCAGAATCTAGATGGATGACTGCTTGGGAATATCAGTTGCTGTAAATTTGCGTGTGCGGATGATGTAATGTATAATGGCTCGGAATTGAAAATCTAAGAGCCTAGTTCTAATTCTAGTTGGGTTTCTTATATTCCCTAGTGTACAAATACCCTTGGGAAACGTATGAATCCACATCTATTCTGGCTATGGATTAATTAGTAGGACGTTTCAGGAAATCATTATCTCCGAAAGATTTTCATAATCTAAAAAAAATATTTTCTGGCTTAAAATAACCTGCAAAGAGATGATAAACTATAAAAAAAAGCAATCAGTCATTTCACTACCTAATAATAGGATTGAACTACTGACCACGCTTTTATCCACTACGTCACCGATCCGAAAGACGAATGCTATCTGTTTTTGAGCATTTAAATTCAATGTAAAAACGTTTCAATATTTCTTACTGTTCACCAAATAAAAGGCCCAAGAGCCACTCAAAGTACAGGGTTACGGAGTGAGATTGTAAGGAAGGAGTTAGTAAGAGTGTCTAATGAAGAGTAGGATAGATAGCTGGTGACCCTGGACATAAAGAGACCAAGAATGTAGGTATCAGGTAAGCACTCACTCGGGAATTTGTTCCACAAAGTAACAACAGTTCGTGAGACGAAGCTGTCTAAGTGGACCTTGCTTTTTATCAAATGAACGCAAAGGGAATGCGGACGGTTGGTTTGCCACCACGGACACTGCATGTTCGTAGATGTGAACACCTGGAGGAATGTAACTTATTATTTACTAATGTAACTGATCCCAGCATCAGCCATAGTAATCACGGCAGGGTAGTGACAGGCGGACGATGTTTTGTCGGTTAGATAAGAGTTGCAGGGTGGAGAATAATTCATCACCCGCAAGGCCGTGTAAGAGATTTTGAAGTCCGTCGAAGCTGAGCAGTGAGAACTGGGCGTCACCAACCCAAATATGACAGGGATACTCTATTCTTCGGGTGATTTTGCTCTTGCAAAATGACGACGGATAACTCACATACCATTTTTTTTTTAAAAATAGACAAGAATACTTAACTGATACGACTGTCACAATGTATTCTTCATCCTTGGTTGCCTAGGTCGGATGTAGTTGAAATTAATGTCCACCAGCTTGCAATTTCTGTTTCGTTAAAGACGAAAGTTCATGGCGTCCATTGATGTCTATATGTGCTGCTGTCTATCTCATCTAATAACTTTTTCAGTTTTATCGTACTTCGAGTTTACTTAAAGCAAATGCTTATAATCGGGCATCTCATAAGAAACGACCTCATGAAACTTTCGAGTTTACTTCGAATAAAGGACAGAACGATACCAGTTGTGTAAGATGATTTTATTTTGAACAGCTTATATTCGCTTGCTAATCTTCTATATATAAGTGAATGCTGGACAATCTCTTCCCAGATGACGAAGACACGTTACGCGACAGGCCTGTGATTCTTCCGACGAATTCTAAGAAAAACGTAAATGTTATCTCATCCAGTAGGAGAAGAACAGTGGGATTGGAGCAACGGTTCGCGCGCTCGCTCGAACGAGCGACAGTGACACGCTACCTCCACACGATGACGAAGGAAAGCCGGAACCGCAGCCGGTGCCGTCACAGATTTGCGAAAAGTGCCTATATTCGTTCCGCTGGAGCCTACCATGTGAGCAATGACTAAGATTTACGGAAAATAGGAACTGCGTAGAAGCGTCTTGGAATTATAACGAAGAAAGAGCGATTGGAGAATATAACACTCAGAGGACATAGAGAGAAGCTACGAGAGGCAGCGAGTATATTAACGATCAAGTTTATTTTTAAAAATGAATGTCGGAACGAAGACAAAGAGGGATATAGAAAAATTACGAATCAGTTAAAAGACAGAAAGATGTGGAGAGTCGTGATCCCTCCAACTCTTTAAGTTTTCATAATTTGTGGAGGAGTTATTTTTCGTGTATTTTATATCAATATTTTCCAGATTTATTAATACTGAATTGTGTGTACAATAGATATCGAATTTTCTTTTTCACGCGAGTCAATAATTAAGCAATGTTACAGTAAACAGTGACCCCTTTTTTTTGGCGGGAGGCGTTCTTTATCTCTCTTCACGGTGCTTCAGTTATTATACTCTTGGTCCCAACGGACATGATTCACGTCGTGAAGTGACACGGCACATAAAAGAAGATACTGCTTTGTGTCCGACAAGTATTTCTTGCTCTTGGTAAATTAAGTGTTTCATTGAAAAGTTCAGTGAAGAAAGTTTATACATTCTCATGAGGAAAGAGTGATGACCGCCCGTCTACGATTGTGTCAAAAGTGTGGGAGATGAAATAAATAAAATAAAAAAAGAGACAAAAGAAGAAAAGAAATGAAAAGGCAGAAAGAGAAGGAATGAAAGAAAGAGAAAATCGAAAATGAACGGACATTCAACAATAGAAAAATTATGTAAAAAGCGAAAGAACAAATAAAAGGAAATAAAACAAAAAGATGCTTGAATGTACGAATGATTGCCAGTATGTTGTAACTGACGAGAAAATCAAGAATAACTTCACAAAGGAAACGCTTTCCCTAAAAAAATAAAAAAATAATAATAAAGCAAAAAAAGACATGGTCGCCGGCTACCTCACATAAAAGCGAACACGCATGCGCAACCCAGTCTTGTGTTAGACAAGGAGTAGCACTTGAATAATGTTACATTTGCAAGCATCAAAGTACATATTCAACCAGAAAAATGTCCTTCAGTTTCATCTACTGTGCATGTCTTTTTATTCGGGTCTTCCATTTATTTCATTTCTAAAACTATGAGAGATATTTTTCATCCTCATTCACGCATTTTTCTTCGTTTGCTTCAAGCATTATTCATAGTTTCATTCGCCTTTACTCAATTGTTCTTTCACGTTTTCCTACTTGATTCATAATTCTATTTCTTTTTTCTGTTTTAATGATTAAGGGACGACTTCATTTGCTTCATTTATCAGTTCATTCTTTCGTATGTACAGTTTAATATTTCATCCGGTCATCACTCCTTAACTTTGTAGCTTCTCCCAAAATAAAGATTCCAAACTTTCACTCATCAAGCCGACAATATATAATTCGGCACTTAGGGAAGTTTAAAACCCCCCTCAACAGTACTTGCTAACCATTTTCAAGACCTTTCCTTTTTTAACATTAACTAACGTACAAACAAATATTATATATGTGAAATAAAACAGCCGACTCGGTGTTTCACTTGCTCGCTGTATTGAATCTGAACATAGATTTTATTTTTAAAAAAAGAATCTTACTCTGTTTAAAAGAGAAAGCAATTTACTAAGATGAGAAAGTGCTTTAATCGCTAGAGCATCCACAGCAAATTTTCTTCCAGGTTCTTAGAATATTTCAACTTTCTTGGCAGATCTTCTATTTTCACAATGTGTTATATTTCATAGCAAAAAAAAAAAAAAAAGGGATGGAAACACGAAGAAAAGAAAAAGAAACTAAATTAAATCAGCTGAACTATAAACCCAAAACATGTACTTAAATAAAAAATGATATTCCTGTTTAAAATTCTCAGCCAATCGTTCTCGCATATATGCATAGTCGTGCCAACGTAAACATATTTTACTTCGATTAGGACCTAAATGACGAAACGTGTTACACCAAACCTCCTTCCATTATGTCATATATATATATATATATATATATATATATATATATATATATATATATATATATATATATATATATACATAAATAAATATATATATATATATATATATATATAAATAAATATATATATATATATATATATATATATATAAATAAATATATATATATAAATAAATAAATACACATATATATATATAAATAAATACATATATATATATATATAAATAAATATATATATATATATATATATATGGCTTATGTAAGCCAAAGCTTAGATTGTATTAAAAAATATGGATCAATATTGTGAATTTCTTTCTTCGTTCAACGATAATGTTATTAAATTTATCAGACGTTACGAAAATAATTTACATAAAATAAATTGACAACAATTGTCTATATTATTTAATGAAACGTGTATATATATATATATATATATATATATATATATATATATATATATATATATATATATATATATATATATATATATGCATAAATATATATTTATAGTTTGTGTATATAAATATATTTATAGTTGGTAGTTTTGTTTTAAACCTTATCAACTTGTCATGGGCCATTTAAAGCCGGTATAGTTAAAATATATATATATATATATATATATAATAAAATTAAATCCTTTATATTGTCTCATCTTAGAGTTTCGCGTTTATTTTTAGTAGTCTCGACCATAAAAGAAAACGTAATCTCGGTGAAGCTCAAAGGAGAGAAAGGATAAGTGAACATTGAAATTAGTATTATTAAAACTCTATCTCATTGTTTCGAACCCTCTAACTACCAAACAATGTTATCTTCGAGAAATATTCTGGTCGACGTATCTTTTTTCTTTTTTTTTTTGTGTAGAGACACCATCCTAGTTATTTCTTTTTATATACACATCCCATATATATATATAGAAAAAGTTTCAAATTAAAAATTATAATGTTTTATTTTATGAAAGTATTTATTTATTTATATATATATTTGATATTTCAAATTGTCCTCAATTTTTCATCAGAAATAACTGTTTTTACAAATATATATATATATATATATATATATATATATATATATATATATATATATATATATATATATATATTTAATTTAAAGAACTTGGTAAACCGAATGGGTAATTCCAAGTAGCATGATTAAAGTGTTTTTTTTTTCATTAATTATATATATATAAATATATATATTTATATATATATAAATATATATATTTATATATATGTATATAGAAATAATTAATAATGAAAAATGCATTTATTTTAAGCAATACATATTTATTTTCCATACATTAGTATTCCTTGTCAATTCACTTAATTCAGAATAAATAATGAGGCATCAAGTATTGCACAATGAAAAATACAGAGTAATACTTGACGCGGGTACGTATTTATTGAAACAAAATTCTATGGAAATAGCGAAAGGATAAAACATTTTTATCAGTTGCCGAAAGACCAGAGACTGTGCTAAATTGGCACCACCTTATTGCAAATCTTCTTTTGCGTGTGTGTATGTGCGTGTGTGTGTGTCCGGCGCGCATGGGATTTCTGTATTTATTTCACCATCCTTCCTTAATTTCAAGTCTCTCTCTCTCTCTCTCTCTCTCTCATTCTTCTTTAGTCAACCACATCTATTTCCGTATTTCATTCTTTGCCCTCTTCTTCTTCTTCTTCTTCATCATCACCATTCGAGACGTTTCGACTTGAAATCAGACTACAAAGCAGTGTGGTTTCTCATCTTCAGGATGGCCGCACGCCACCGAGAGTTACAGAGTCAATATGCTACTTTTACTGCAAGCATGCTAAGCGTCCTTTGAGTTCAAGTTGAAGTCAGGATTTCCCTTTTCCTATACTAGTTTCCAACCACGGACAGAGAGTTAAATCTATCTTACTATTTAACCCATAACATGGAGAAAAGAGGTACTTTCATACCTTTCTTAACGGTACTTCTATAAAAGTGAATTTAACTATCTCGAGTGGAATCCAAACTCCGCTCAACTATTTCTCCTTCTGAGCCACACACTATTACACTAACTTCACATCCTCTTTCTTTCTTCTATCCATTTTATCCCATAAAAGAGCCCTTTTCTTTTCTTCTTACTGATATCTCCCTTTTTTTCTCTTTCTGCTCGTCAGATTTTTTTTCTTTTTTTGTAATGCTTACATTTTATGGTTTCTCTGTTTTATTTTCGATTTGATATCACGTTTCCTTATTTTTTTCTTTATACGGCAATTTTATCAGTTTAAATAAGACATTTTTTGTTTCTTCTTCGCTTCCTTTTATTTTTATATCTGAATCCATTTGACATTCACCATTGGCAGGCAATTTTGATTTCATAGTTTTCGAAATTTCAATCCTTTTTTTTTTACACTCTCGATTTTTTTTATTTTATTAAATTGCATATAGTGAATTTAAAGAACAAGAAAACCTGTTACGGGAAAACGGCAAGATGGAATTGTGTCCGCTTTTCAACGTTCAATATGATTCACCATTTAAAAAAAAAAACTTTTTGCCTATTTTCGCAGTCATTTTTTTTCTTATTTTCTGATGAAGAAATTAATTGGTGACTGGCAGCATTCATTCTTAGAAAACTTCCAGCGAATCTGAGAGATTCTATTCACGGCAGCATCATCACCCACCCCGGTGTCCACACGCTTAGCGGTACAACTGCCATTCATCGGCTTGATCATTTGTAATCTATCTTTCTTTTTCTTCATTCTTCTCTCCTTTCAAGCATTAATTTTTTTTTCATTTGATATTTTACCTTTTTTTTCCTTTCATTCATCCCCGACGAAACCCCATCTTGTTTTCTTTCTTTTTCGCCATCTTGTTTCTGTTGCATTTTGTCTTTCGTGAATCGTTTCTTTATCGTTCCCCTGGCTTTCGTCTTTGAAACGTCTCATCTTTCATTCCATCTATCTCCGCTTTCTTCTCTTTAATATCCATTCAGCTGCCTGTTCAGTTCTTCGCCCTCTCACTATGCGTTTTTTCCTACTGCTTTTTATTCCATATTTTGAGTCCACCTTTTATAATTCCTCTAATTTATTCAATTAACTTTTATTCAGTTTTCCGTTATTACTCCAAAATTTTAAATTACAATTACATCCCCTTCTCTATCATTCGTATTACTTTTATTCTTCCTTTTTAAAATATCCAACTTCATAATTTCCTTACGTCACGCTAGTCACAATCTATTCTATATACTCTCCCTGTTCCACTTGTCTTATTTCTTTAACGCACTGTTCAGTCTTTAGTTATCATTGATGTAAAACCTTTTCGAAAGAAGCAAACGCACTCATGTATTTTTTTTTTTTGTTCATGATCGGGCTGTAGAGAATTAAAATAAAAGTAAGAGGAGCAAAGGAAAACATTGATGTTTTAGCTGAGTTCAAGCCCAGGTGACGCAGTCAAGAGTTGATCTTTGATGAGTCTAATTACAAATGAATGAAATTTTCATCGTGGAAAATCGGAGATGCACACGAATGGAAAGATTTCTTTATTCATAGCCGGACTAAACAATTAAAATAACCAACAAGAACACAGATGGATCTTTAATTATTAGCACATATAGACAACTACATATAAATGTATACAGACAAAAAAATATGAATCTTCATAACAATCCCATAAATATATATATATATATATATATATATATATATATATATATATATATATATATATATATATATATATATATATATATATATATATATATATATATGAGATAACGATATATATTTTTATATATCAACAAAATTTACAACATTATATATATATATATATATATATATATATATATATATATATATATAATAAAATGTAAAAAAAATTCTTGTGAGGCGTTCCATCCTTTTGGACTTCATCGGACTATATATAGTCCGAGGAATTCCTAAAACAGGAAACGCGCTCAAGAAAAATGTTTACACTTTGTCGTATATATATATATATATATATATATATATATATATATATATATATATGTGTGTGTGTGTGTGTGTGTGTGTATGATTATATATATATATATATATATATATATATACAATAAATATATAATAAATAATATTATAATGTATTGTGCTCTCTTTTAGATGAAATGTAACGAACGTTGAAATTGTACTCTATTCGTCCTCATTGTACCTGGATATATATATATATATATATATATATATATATATATATATATATATATATATATATATATATGCGTGTGTGTGTGTGTGTGTGTGTGAATATATATATATATATATATATATATATATATATATATATATATTCAGAAGAGTGTATTCTTACGCTTGCTCAGGCTAACGTTTTCCGGTGGCATGAATTAGAAAGATTATGTTGAATTAATTACTTGGTTTGCTGCTTTGAATGTTTATTCACTGTATCGTGCTGGACATTTTTTCTTGCGAGAAATGATCTAACACATTTATAAGTCTACCATTCGTCCATGCACATGCATAATTGCTGTTACATCTGGTCTAGTGCATCTGTTTTGCATTTAGACGTTCTTGATAAAATATAAAAGAAGAATGTGCAATGCTATTGGAGCTAACCTGGTATCTCCATATCTGTCACTTTCCCAAAGCTTTACACAGTTTCTTCCTTTTACTTTTTTTTATATATAATTTCAATGTCAATTGTTCTGATGAGGCTTCCTCTTTGATACCTAGACTTTGTGAAATGAAGCACACTAGTAGATTGGTAAGAACGTCTGATTGTTATCCTAAGTCAGCACTTCACGGCGCAACCAGAACTTGAACTCAGGCTAACATAACTTTTATATTCCTTTCTTTTCTTTTTTTTCTTTTTCTTTTTCTTTTCATTCTTTCGATCTTAATAACGATTTAAAATAACATATCACGTTTGTTTCTTCAGAAACTTCTTACGTCAGTGATAACAAAAGAATGGACAGAGTGATAAAGAAATAAAACGTCCCGGACAGGGATAATATATAGTATACCACGTGACTAGCATCACGTAGGGAAATTATAAAGATGGAAATTTTAAAAAAAGGAAGAATACAAATAATACGAATGATTGAGGTGGGCGAGGGTTTAATTTATGGTCAGACATTTTTTTTTAAATATTGCATAGTCCACACGGCCAAATATATTTCAGTAGAGTTTTAAAAAGTAGGTTTTCAACTCTAAAATACAGGGTGTTTCAAAAAGAATACGCCAAAATCATTACGCTGTTTTTCAGGTCTTTAGCATTGTAGTGGACTGAATCAGTGGTTATTTGATAGAGTACTTATCAAAGTTTGATTGGGTGTCAGTTCCACCGCTGTCGTTAGTAGAACTTCCGGTGCAGCTGAATAGTGGGAAGACAAACCTATTTCGAAATGCTCCAAAACTGGCTATTCACTTTACTGCAAGCAGATTCGAATGACTTCATTTTTCAGCAAGATGGAGCACCGCCCCATCGGCATCTCGGGGTTAGAGCTTATCTGAATGAAAACGTGCATCAGCTATATTTAGGGGTCGCATGTGGCACAAGGCCGAGTTTTACGTGGTCACCCGAGCCCGTAGGCCCGGCCAAAAATATAGCCTTTCGAACCCAGGCGGGTTCGAGAGCTGTCATAACCTCCCCGAACGAAACCTTGCCCTTCGGCAAAGCTTCGTCCGGGTTCCTCTCTGCTAATGCAGAGAGTTAGGCAGACGGCGGTTGCTGTAAGTTTGGTACAGCTATTGATTGGGAGGAGAGGTGCTAAAGACCTTGCTCTCTGTGCTTGACCTGTCAGATCCCTGGACCGCACTGGGTGTGACTTTTTCTTGTGGGGATATGTTAAAGACCAAGTTTATGTTCCAGCACTTCCAGCAAGTATCGATGACTTGAAAGATCGAATAACAGCTACAATCAACACGGTGGACTGTGACATGCTGAGGCGCGTTTGGGAGGAGTTCTCATATTGGCTTGATGTTGTCCGCGCTGCCGGTGGTGGCCACATTGAGCACTTATAAAACATGAAATGAAACTTGAATGTATATACAGCACATGTATTCATGCTAGAGGTTTGTAATTTTTTTCGTTTTTGACACATCACGTGATGATTTTGGCGTATTCTTTTTTAAACATCCTGTAAAAGTCGGTCTCTACACAAGAAAGTGTTTGTTGGGTGTATAACTGTTACTTTGAGACATGAGAAATATTCAATTGGTATGTACAAACATTAGTATCCTATTAATCCTACTCATCAATAAAAAAAATCAAAAAAATCTATGGAAAACCTTTCCATTTATCACTGTGTTAATCAGAAATGCGAAATATTTTAAAACTCATGAGCTGCCAAAAGATAGAATACCTGGTTGTCATCAAAAGTTGCAGGCCAACGTATGAGCTACATTTTGGGGACGTCAGAATCATAAAGGTACAAGAATCAAAGTAAGGGGTTACTGTAATTAAAGGTTGTGGAAAATTTGGCAAATAAATCCGATGGCTTATAGGATTAACGGAAGAAGTCGTTCGAAAAATACCCAAAGAATTAAGAAATATGAAAATATCGTTTGAAACAAAGAGGTCTACACTGTTATAATATGTAAGCAAATATATGGATATAGATCCGACATTATGAAGAAAAATATACGGAAAAAACAACCAAAAATCCTAATACGCAATTATTCTGTTTTAATGTTAATATAATGTCAACGTCGGACGTTTAGGTCTAGTAGACCATCTTCAGGACATATTCATAAAACATAATTAACATTAGACTATATTTAATTCATGAAAATACGATATTATCACTTATATAGCAATGAATAAAAAACTCGTGTGATCACCGTCAAGCAAAGGTCAATACCTAGAGAGGTGACCGCTTAGGAATACCAGGTTCTGTCAGCCTGCATGTGCAGGTGGTGTATTTTTTTTTTTAATCTGAGAGCCGGGTTCCAATTCCTATTTTTTCCTTATATTCACTTACGCGTAAATATCCTTGTGTGACACTATATAGGGTTGCTAGAAAAAAGAAGAAAAAAAAGAAGAAAAAGGCGAGAATTAAATTTAGGTGATAAGAAGCAATCACGAACAGGATACTAAGCGATGTTATTTTTTGTTTTAACAAAGAAAAGTGGAAAGATTTTATTTTCATTAGCGAAGAAAGTAAGGTCGCGCATCTGTCGCGTTTGATTTATGACGGCGCACCGAATGGTGAAAATTTCAGGTCGGCCAGGTGACCTACAGGGCAGAATTCTAAAGAGATAAAAATTAATTGGGTCGCGGAAAAATGTCTGTTGGACCAATCGCAGAATTTCGAAAACAAAAGACTAAACCATTAGCTATCTACGGAGGTGTCCTTTGGAAAAGGCACCTGTTTCGTGTCAGGAGCTGGCTATGATAAGAAAATTATTTTATCGAAATGCAATACATCCAATTGACCACCCACTTGTTTGGCGAAGGTCCCGAGTGATGAATCCCAGGTGACATTCAGGATAAAATTGAGATTAAGAGACCACACTACGGGTCGTATTGGGTTGTTGTCGAGAAGAAGAAAAAGAAAGAAAAGAAAAAGAAAAAGGAAGATATTTTTTTTTTCTTTGAGCAAGAATTTTTTAAACCGAGACTAGTCCGGCCACACCCACGCCGCTGAGCGCCAATTGGCTGAATGGTGGCGTGAGCGTTGGGCGGAGGTAATCATGTGAAGAAGGATGGGAGGCCTGTTGACGCCCCTCCCCACTGAAGGGAGCGGCGTGAGATGCCACTGCGAGGGAGAGGGGAAACCTGTTGACGCCCCCTAAAGGGATTGGGTGAGATACCCATATGAAAAAGGAAGAATCTGGAAGGACTTCCAAAAATGGAAAATAATAAATTTTCCTGACCGAAAACAAAGAAGTGGATTGTGGATTATCAAGGAA